ATGGTATGGTATGGTATGGTATGGTATGGTATGGTATGGTATGGTATAAAGTGGTATATAATACTTTTTACGCAAAACCATAAACACTTGCACTGTTTCAGATTTATTCTCTGAGCAGAATATTTGCAAACTAAATGGATTTGACAGAAAATAGTTGATCAAGTCTAACAATAAGTTTTGGCATCAGAGATCCCATGAAACCAATGTCATCTTTTTGTGTTTAATCAACAAAGTTAGGTTTTGGTTGACCTGGTTAGTTTCCTATTTACACAAACATGGTGCTTGAACTGTGAATAAATTAACTTACATGAAAAACTAACTTATTTATAATCATTTTAATGATGGCTAAGATTTGTTTGCTGTTGTGGCCATATTGAATCAAGCTGACACGTAGAATTAACCATAGATGTTAATTCATTGATTACTTTCTGAGTTTCCATTTAAATCTGTTCAGCAACTCATGAGATATTTTGCTAATAGTTCAGACAAATGCACAAACACAGAGGAAAGAATGATAACATTATCGCTCCGCCTTCAGCTTCAGCAGCAGACTATAATCGCATTAAGCAAACCTCAGAGTGATGCTGCTCAGCTGTTTTGTTGCTATATTTTTCACTGCTGATCATGATGCACAGCAGGTCTGTGAGGCTGATGATGGATGAAGCCCACTCCCTGTGGATTAGAGCGAGGCAGCCTCTGTGTTCCTCTGTTTGCACAACAGAAATACTAAGAACTGTGTGTTCACCTGAGACGTGATTTGCTCTGGAGGGATGGTCTATGAGCTGACGTAGGTGCCAGTCTTCCCACAGTCCTCTGGCTTTTATGGCTGCCTTGTCATCCAAGTTCAAGTTTACATCTCCAAGAATACGACCTGTTGGAAAAATAAATACAAAAACGAGTGTTTAAACCTCGATCTACATCTTATGGCGGATGGAGTGTTGTTATCACTTTAGTGCGTTGTTTTGGCAGTAACAACTGGTACCTGTGACGGAGCTGGATGCAGGGCGGGCGTGCAGGGCGATATCAGGCTGAGAGGAGCCGAGACTGTGAAGGGCCGACATCTGCTGTGTTTTGGACATCCCATTTTGATTTCCTTCAGCCTGGCTGGAAGGGGCGAGCAAAGGCTGCTGGGAAGCGGCCGAAGCAGCAGGCAGATGTGGCGGCCGGATCTTCTCCGCCATCAGCTGCTCCTTGATTTTATTGATCAAGACTAGATTATCCAGCTGACAGCCGGGAAACAACATTAGTGACAGAACAGCCATCATCGCTTCAGTTCAGTGTCTCTCTGTGGGGCGAGGGCTCCCTCTAGTGGCTCATAGCTGACATTGTAGCCAACACTTTAGCATGCTTAAAAGATAAAAGCTGGTTTAAAATGCCTTGTTTCTAGCTAAACCTTTAGTTTGTGTGATCTTAAAATAAAAGAACAACTGTTTATTTAAAGTAAATTGTTCTAGATGTAGCCTTTTTGGTGCCACTTGGGTCACTTGCTGCAAGAATATCCTAATATTTTTGCTGAAGTAACTGTGTAATAATGGTTTATAAAACAGCTTTTGTATGAACTGCTATAGAATATTTGACATTGGACGGTTTTTATGTTGCTACACCAGTAATCTTCTATAGTTTTAGCCTTGCTAAGACCTCATCAAAAGTCAAAAAGCTATCTGCAACAAGTAAGATACTAATTGTTTATAACCTTTGTATAGGAGTAATTTCAATAGATCTGAACTTTCCCCTTAAGGGAGAAAGGATCAGCAAGGTACTAAACGTAAAAAACAACGAGGTGTCGGAAATTCGCAATCAATGTTTTGTTTTGATTTTTTATGAAAAAAAATATATGTTTTAACATTTTAGATCAGTCATATTAGACGGTTCATGTTATATAAGCATCAATAAATAACTTTAATTTAAAGGAAGGATTCACTTACAGATGATTTAGATTAATTATATTCTGCAAAGCTCCTCAGTACAAAGGTCTGGGGGTTAAACTAGCCAGCCTGAAGTTCAGACCTGCGTCCCCATTTAAAATATGAAAAATACCACATAGGAGACCTTAAGTTGATGAGTACAAAAAAACAATTAACAGCTTAGAAAACAATCATAAGCTATCATAACTATTTTGGTACATTAATAAAAGTTACAAATAAGCAGTTGTATTTATTTTTTCATAACAATAACATTTTTATATCAACATTTACCTCAATGTCTGCAATGTTCTGTAAATAAAGGTGGTTAAACTCAAAAGATATTTATTATATTTGTTTGCATTTATATTTTACATACCAGACCATGGTTGTGGTCAAACCTTTTCTTATGTTTCCTGAACTGGACTAAGAGTTTGTTGCAGTGAGAATGTTTTTTTGTTTGTTTGTTTTTTTTCCAGCTGGTTATATGCTTTATTCTAAAGTTAGCAGCTGATAAAAGATAACAAGTTCATGTTTTGTGGGAAGCGATGGCATTGGCTTTGAATCAGTATAGTTTGTTTTTCTATTTAAAAAGTCAAAATACAAACTGCCTTCCCTTTTTTTTTTAGTTGATACCAACATTTACAGGAGCTGGGCATCAAACAATCTGGTAACAAGTTACCAAAATAGCAACTGTTGCAGGTGACGGGCAACGTGTTTCTGTGCTACTAAAACAGCTGGATATGGGACATGTGAATGTTTTCACCTCTCTCTGAAATGGTTTTATTTTGTTGCCTTACAACCTTGGATTTAGTTAAGATTATTATTTTTTTAATTAAAAGCAAGATGAATACAAAACACTCAAAATTAATAAAGATAAACAAGGAATTATTTAAAAAAAATTTAAATACAAACCGGATTCCAAAAAAGTTGGGACACTAAACAAAATGTGAATAAAAACTGAATGCAATGATGTGGAGGTGCCAACATCTAATATTTTATTCAGAATAGAACTCAAATCACAGATCAAAAGTTTAAACTGAGAGAATGTATCATTTTAAGGGAAAAATCTGTTGTTTCCAAATTTCATGGTGTCAACTAATCCCAAAAAAGTTGGGACAAGTCCATTTTTACCACTGTGTGACATCCCCCCTTCTTCTTACAACACTCAACAGACGTCTGGGGACAGAGGAGACCAGTTTCTCAAGTTTAGAAATAGGAATGCTCTCCCATTCATGTCTAATACAGGCCTCTAACTGTTCAATCGTCTTGGGCCTTCTTTGTCACACCTTCCTCTTTATGATGCGCCAAATGTTCTCTATAGGTGAAAGAT